TCTCTCTCTCTCTCTCTCTCTCTCTCTCTCTCTCTCTCTCTCTCTCTCTCTCTCTCTCTCTCTCTCTCTCTCTCTCTCTCTCTCTCTCTCTCTCTCTCTCTCTCTCTCTCTCTCTCTTCTCCCTCCCTTCCTCAAGTCAACCAATTTTAACGATAAGCATTAATTAGCTAACAAACTTGAGAGGAGGAAGAGACAGACGAGATAACGAGCAGTTTAACCGTTATATAATCAGCTTGGGTCAAGATAAAGCACACGGTTTTCAGAAAAGTAGAGGAAATTACGAAAGAGAGAGAGAGGGAGGGAGGAGGGAGAGAGAGAGAGAGAGAGAGAGAGAGAGAGAGAGAGAGAGAGAGAGAGAGAGAGAGAGAGAGAGAGAGAGAGAGAGAGAGAGAGAGAGAGAGAGAGGGGGAGAGAGAAGAGAGGGAGGGAGACAAATCATTACATAAAGAAAAACAGCAAAATAAAAATCAGATATTTTTATTGTAATGACAGGAAGAGAGTATTATAAAATATAATAAAAAAATAAATTTGAGATGACAAAAAATTATTATTTTTACGAAAGTAAAAAACGTACTTTTTCCTCGTTTTGGGATTGATATCAATTGCGGAAATGGTGTCACGTGACTACTTTACTATCAATGGATAGAGAGAGAGAGATAGAGAGAGAGAGAGAGAGAGAGAGAGAGAGAGAGAGAGAGAGAGAGAGAGAAAATAGAGAGAGCGAGAGAGAAGAGAGAAGAGAGAGAGAGAGAAAGAAATAAGAGCGCGAGAGAGAGAGAAAAAAATAAGAGCGAGAGAGAGAGAGAGAGAAAAAAAAAAAAAAAGAACGAGAGTATGCATGTGTGTGTGCGCGCAAGTGTGAAACCGCGTGTGTGAATGTGTGTGTATCAGTAATAAATCACTTATACGTAATATAACCACTTATTCTTAAACGGTCTGCACAGTGTAAGTGTAAATCTCTATTATCCTATAAGTCTGTGAATCAAATACAATTAGTCACCACAAGGGAAAAAAATATAACTGCCTTTATATGTATTATACGATGTCTCCATCTTGCATACTTTCTTAAAATGTTAATGAAGGAAGAATGTAAGATATCGATGTATGATGTACATTTACTAAAATAGTGTTAGTGGCATGTAAGAACACCCTGGATATCGTACTGTTTGTTTCAACTCTCGTTTTGATATATCTATATTTTTTCTACGTTTCAGTGAGTTCAAAGGTCAAATAGCGATTAAGATGATTGACAGATAAATAAATCATTTCTTGCTCTCCGAACTAAGGTTATAACAAGAGAGAGAGAGAGAGAGAGAGAGAGAGAGAGAGAGAGAGAGAGAGAGAGAGAGAGAGAGAGAGAGAGAGAGAGAGAGAGAGAGAGAGAGAGAGAGAGAGAGAGAGAGAGAGATAAGCTAGACGAGTGAGAAAGAGAGAGAAGAGAGAGCTAGAGAGTGAGAAGAGAGAGAGAGAGAGAGAGAGAGAGAGAGAGAGAGAGAAGAGAAGAGAGAAAGAAAGAAAGAAAAACAGAGAGAGAAAAGAGAAAAAAGGATAGAGGAAGAAAGAGAGAGAGAAAAAAAACAAAAAATACAGAGAGCGAAAGCGAGATGAGTGAGTCATCCCAAAAGTCCCACCGAATCACAGACGCCGCGAGTAGCATACGCAGATGTCACGGTACACTCTAAACGTTTTTCCTTCACGGTTTTCTGATCTCTGAAGTGAGCATAATCACGTCAAGTTTGGCATATGCGTCTGATCAGGGGTTGGGGCACGCACGATGGCTTCCTGTGAAAATACTGCAAGAGCTTCAGTCAGGGAGGGGCGGAAGGTGATATGGTACGGCGGAGGGAGGTAGGGGAAGGGGGGAAGGGAGGGGAAGGGAGGGAGGTAGGGAGGGGAAGGTAGGGGAGGGGAAGAGAGAGGAGTTGGGGGGGAAGGGAGGTGAGAGGAGGGAGTTGGGGAGAGGGAAGGAGGGAAGGGGAGGTGAGAGGAGTGGGGAGGGGGAAGGTAGGGGAAGGGGAGGAGAGTTGGGAGAGGGAGGAGGGGAAGGGAAGGGAAGATGGGAAGGGAGGGGAGGGGAAGTGAAAGGTGAGGGAGGAAAGGGAAAGGAAGAGAGCGGAGAGGACGGGAGATGAGAAGGAAGGGGAGAGGAAGGGGAGGTGAGGGAAGGGGTGATGAGGTGACGGGAGGAGAGGAGAGGGCTGGAAAGAGAGGGGAGGAGAGCGTAAGGGGTGAGAGAGGAGAGAAGGACAGGGGCAAAAGGGAGGGGAGGAGAGGAGAAGGAAAAGGGGGAGAGGGAAGGGAAAGGGGTGAGCAGAAGAGCCAGGCGTTGGGAGATTTTTTTTTTTTTTTTTTTTTTTTTTTTTTTTTTTTTTTTTTTTGTATGCTGGGGTTATTTGTGTATCCAGGTCATAGGCCTACCTCAGGCTGGCACCTCCCGGCCCTCTTCTAAACGCCCAGCCATATATAAGGCCTAAACAATCCAATCCGTTTACATAAACAC